CTGTGATAGAACTGTTGAACCAAAGATGGAGCGAAAACAGCACATCTACAGACTGTACGGACCGACTGTACCTTTCAATAAGATGTGATTTTGTTGGTTAAAAGCTCCCAAATGTGGTCGGTGTTGAGGTCTGTGGAGTCTTTATAAACCACATGTAGATCCTCTGTGGATAGTTGACGCTTAACCTGAAGCGTTGATTGGCTATAACTCCTGACCTTTAGCCAATCGGATAGCTCTGTGGGCGGGACATGACTCGAGACCACAGAATGGCGACTACAGGTGGACAGAAGTGGCTTTTCAAAGTAGCACATTTTTAAATTTATCATATTACTGGTGATTTCTTAACATAATAATAATGATAATCAGAAAGAATCTGAATATTGGAGCTGATAATTGGCTCGGCCTGTAATTGGTTAACCTCTTAATAGGTCTGCAACTAATGATTATTACATTATCAGTTAGGTTAACCATTATTTTAATCATTTGCTCGACAACGACAGCGAAGACAGCACAAATTGACGTCTTCATTTGTTGTGTTTTGGTCGAGCAACAGCCAAAAACCCCAACATTTTCAAATTAAAGCAGATTTTACAAAGAAAAAAGCATTTTACATTGGGTAGAAACATCCCCACATTTGAGAATTTGGAACAATTAGTTGTAAAAATTACTTTGCCTGATTGAAAGAAATCATTTAGTCAACCATAAAAGGATAAAACAGAGATGTAGATTTTATTTGGTCAATTGTATTCAGCAGTCAAAGACATTTACTCCCTGTTTGCAGACATATTATAGCTAATTTGATATTTTAATTAAGCTAAATAGAATAAATGCACATGAATCAATGCAAAATGTCCCGATCATGAATAAACCAACGACAGACCGGACTTGTGTGTAATTGCTATGCAGTGTTGTCAACATTACACACACCAGCAGTTGAATAAAGCTGAATTAAATTACAATATTATTCAATTATTCGGCTGCCAAAGCACCATTTCCCCCTCAGGGGAGCTGGCAGACAGCGAGCCTGGTCCTGCTGCTGTGCTCACCGACGGTCAACAGGGGGGGCCAGAGGTCAGCGCAGACTTAAGCTGCTTACAACGTGAACACCTGCTGCGTCTTCAATGACACTTAGAACCCCGATGAAGTGGATGTGGAGCGTTCAGATCTCTTTCCAGGCTCTTTGGATGTTCACAGAGCTCTCAGTGTGCCGAGTTTTTTCCCTCCAGCGGTGTGATTTGTGTGTATTATTAATTTTCTGCTCTGATGGGCGACGCCAAGCCATTAGCTTAATGAGAGGCAAAGGCGAAGTTGCTGCTCTTTGATAGAAAAGTGAAATATTATGTCAGAGTAGAAATCGGACAATCCTCTCGTGTCTCTTCCACACATGTAAGCTCTCTCACACAACTTGTTTAGTTATTTTGCAGGGTAATAAATTGACTGACATTAATAATAACAACCGTAGACAATTACCCCGAGCTTCACCACAACCACCACTAACCTAACACTTATCCTAACTATAACCCGAAAGCAAACCGAAGCACCAAACACTAAAATAACAATGATTATCGGCCACAATAACAGAGCAGGAGTTGCTTTCACCTTGTGTGTGTGTCATCATCGCTAAATGCCAACCTGGAGAACCTCGCTGTGGTGGGAACTACCACAAAGAGGACTTTGGCAGGTGCTTGTATGTTTGTCTGTGGAGGGATCTTTGGCAACTGAGATCAAGATAAAGGCCAAATCCGAAGATGGGTGTGGTCGCAGTGCTCATGTATTTAATATAGTCTGCACTTATGTTTATCCAAAGTGCTTTACAATGTGTTTCTCATTCACACACACATTCATACACCAATGGCGACAGAGCTGCCATACAAGGTGCTGCCTGCCATTGGGAGCAACTTCAGGTTCAATGTTTTGCCCAAGGACACTTCGACTGTGGAGGGGCCGGGGTTTGAACCTTGCGATTGGAGGACAACGGGCTCTACCACCTGAGCCACAGCCGCCCTAAACATACGTAGACGCTGATGGGCATCATGTGACGAGAACAACGATCTGCTGACTCGCTGTGGGATTGTGGTTGACCCTTGACTCTCTTTTTAAAACATACTTTTGTAGTTTTTTTTTTAACCAATGGTAGCTGTTCATTTCGATTATTTTATCTTGTATCTTACGTTTGGGCTGCAAGGTGGGGCAGTGGTTAGCACCGTCGCCGGTTTGTGTCCCGGTGAGGACACCCGGGATCTTTCTACGTGGAGTCTCCATGTTCTCGTGGGTTCTCTCCAGGTTCTCCGGCTTCCTCCCACACAGTCCAAAAACATGTTGAGGTTAATTGGTGATTCTAAATTGTCCGTAGGTGTGA